CCTACCAAGCATTTTGCAGTTTACAGCATGGTCTGGGTTTTGTTTATGTTTTTAAACAAATGGATGGATTTCTTGTTTGCATGAGCTTTAGACAAAGTTAAACTCCCCTGTAGTAGTTTTATTTTAAAAGTACTTTCCTTTAAGCATAAAACTACAAGTGCATGTCAAATTCTTCATTGTTTATGTAAATTTCATGTATTTGTTAAATAATAAAATAAAATTGAGGCTTAGGTTACCTTTGTGTATATGTGTATGCTCACTTCACAAAATTGTTCACAGTACTGTCTTAAGATATATTTTCCAAAACTATTTCAGGGGGCTGGGGATTTAGCTCAGCGGCACAGTGCCTGCCTGGGCAAGTGCAAGGTCATGAGTTCAATTCCCAGTACAGGAAAAAAAAACAGAAAAAAACTAACAAAAAAAACCAAAACTATTTCATATCACTGCAATAACCTAACTCCTCCTGGTATCTATGGATGGCTATCCTCACTGCCTCCAGTGAAACATCGGACTCTGTGTTCTTCCCTGATTTACATAAAACATTTGCAGACTATCTGGTTATGTGCCCGGTAGAAAACCTCTTAGTTGCATTTAGTTTGCAATAGTTTTTAAGTCTTCCTTTCCATAGTCAGTACTGGGATCTTAGGCACTCACGGTAATGACAGACATGCTAGTGATCCCTAGCACAACAAACTTACTTCCCCTCAGGAGATGCAGATACTCCTTAGGACTTCTCTTTTCCATTCTGTTTTTGTTAATTTTTATTCTTGTGACAACTCAGTGTAACCACTCTGCTTCCCTCTGCCCCATTTCATGAGTAAAAATATTGTTAACCCTTTGATACATTCCAGAAGAGGACAGTCCCTGGACACTTAAACTAAACACATGTTCTTGTCCTCCTGAAAGATTGACAGTAGGAAAAGAAAAAGAAAGACTGATAGTAGAGATCTTGCCAGGCACTGCCACGATAAAGTTTACTTGGGGACAAAAGGGGGACTTTGAGGAAGTTATATGCTATAAGCCAAATTGGAAAGTCTGATTCATTATCTTTATTGATATTTACTTTAAGCTTTTTCAAAATGATTGCTCTAGTATGACCTTTTACAATATCCTTCTTGGTAATATTGAATTCAAAATTTTCAGATAAAAGCAGTCTGCATTATGTCTCCGTAAATCTCTACTCAACCTCAGAGCTTTCACTAAGAAAGTAAGATAATTGTTAAGGTCTTAGTCACAGTTGGAATTAGAAATCAGGTGGAAATCATACCACTGTTGATCATGCTTAAAGGGATTACTTGCATATTTAAATACTTGCATATTCAAATTACTTCTCTTTATACCACAGACATATCTTAATATTATTAATCAAATACTATGCTATGTCATAATATGGGCTTTCAAATTCTGACCAGCCTTTAGAAAGTATAGCCAAGTCGTTTGGGAACTCATGGTCACGTGAATCAAATCCTTGCTGTTTTATATATATCCTACCAAATAATTTTAGAAATGAATCCATACAGATGAGAAGGGCTGGGAAACTTTACCTCTGTAAAGGCATTTCCTTTTAAGACAGTTCTGACCAGAAGCCCACTGACCTCATCTGGCAAAGTGCTGAAAAAATGAGCAAGCAGCTATGAATGACTAAGTCTGAAAACCCAAGCGATCCCAGGTGGCCTGAGATGTCACCACACTGTATAGAGGAAAGCAGGGAATGCAGATGCTGCTTCTTGTGTACCAGACTCCTTCAGAAAGAACCATCAGAAGCACATGAGGGGCTAGTGTCTGAACTTTTCTAAGAGGTCGCCTCTGACTGCCTGAGTAGTCACAGAATTATAATAATGGAAGAGATGATAAATCATCAACTCAAGCATTATTTTTAAACACAAGAGGCTTGTGTCCAGAGAATATAACTTATACTACCTAAGTTTCCTAAGTCTTGTTTTGTTGAGTAGCATGGTAGAACCAGTTGCATGTATTTTAAGTCTTGCTTATATATTTGAGTCATTTAATGTTATGAGCCTCGGCTTGCTCTTCAGTGAAAAGAAGTAACACTCAATCCACCTCAGCAGTTTTTGGAAGGCTAAATAATAAAACGTATGAGGAAGAAACTTTCTGCTTTGACCACCACCTAGTAGACCTTCAGGAAAGATGAAGTCCTGAGCTCTTCTACTTTATCATTTCAGGCTCCTTCCTTACAAGAGACCTCAGGTAGAGCCTTTGAAAGCTGATCCTTAGCCAGTGATCAGGAGCTGAGCAGTATAGTGATGCGAGCTCCTCAAACTCTAGCAAAAATCAGGTTCAATTAAAAAGATTAGGTCTAATTTTCTCAAGGTTGCCCTCCATAGTAACTAACTGAAACCTGTGTCCCTGTGCTCTTCTCATTGCATTCCTCCTCAGACAGCCCGTCAAGGAAACATAAGGAGCACAAGGTTCAGGGACAGAAGGAGGTTTTGCTCACAGAGAACAAAAAGACAGTGTCCGCGTCTCTCTCCTCTCTTCTTCCCACCTTCAATCCCCCAGTTCCCTCCACCTCTCCTTTTAGAGAAAATCATGGGTGTGGATATCAGTTCCCATTTACTCTTTCCACTATGATATCTAATTTATACCTAAAGCTAATTAATTGGGTTATCTGGAGCATCTTCTCCTTTACATTCCCCCTCCCCTTTTTCTAGAGCTACCTGCTTTCCTCACAATTTCCTGTATTTACTATTCCCTAACCACATGGCCCAAAAGAAGTATGTATCTATACTTTATGAATAGATGGCTACTGGAGGAAAAAAAAGAACTCTTGCATACATCTTTCCAGGGATACAGAGCTATATTTCACAGGCAGAAATATAGTTAACAGAGGAAACATAACACACTTTCTATGTCAGTGGTCCATTCTCATTTTAAAAAATGAGAGACGTGAGTATTTAGAGGAAGGTGTTTCTGGAGAGAAGTGCTACAGGAGCGGGATGAAAAACTATGGCCTGCTTTTGTGGGAGGTAAGAAAAAATTGTCAGCTGAAAGTAAAGATAGATTAAAGCAGTGAACTTCATCTGTGAGCATTTGTATCAAAGTAAAAAAGGGGATTAGACATTCTCTTTAAAATAACTTCTGTTGTATATTTATTATTAAAAAATAAAAACATATTTTGATAAGAGAAACCTTAGAAAATGTCAGTATGCCAAAAGAAAAAGAAAATAAGAAAAGAAACCATCTTTCACCTATCACCTTACTTCTCTGAGGCAATTCTTCATAAATGTTTTCTGATATATTTCCAATATATTCATTTATTATAAACACCTCTCCATGTAATCAGATAGCTTCTTTAATATCAAATGTATGGTTTTGTAGTCTCTTATTATGTGAAAGCTTCATATTATAAGTTTATGAACAACTCTGCAGTACCTGTGGTCCTCACTGTAGGTATCTTCTCTGGCATGCTGTCCAGCGAGGCACAGTAAGACCAGCTCACTTCCCTGAGTTTTTGTACAAATTGCTAATGATCCACTGTTGTCAGTTGTCTTTCTTTCAAGGTATTACTCTTATGTGTGTGTGGATTCTTTAATGCTCATTCTAATAATCAGTTCAGTGCACCAAGTAGAAATTACATGTAATAATCATGACAGCAGCTCCAAGCTACCTTCCTAGCCAGTGAAACATCTTTGAGGAAATACATTTAGCCTTAGATGACTTTCAGAGGTTAGTTTGATCAGTCATGATAATGTTATAAAGTCTCCTTTGGCAGGAAGGGGAAGTTAGATTTAAAGAATACAAATACTGACTGTATTTCAACTGACTATTAGATATTTCAGAAATATTCTTACTACAGCAACTGATACAGCAGCTAGCTTTGTTGAGCACTAACTCTATACCACATCGAACACTCACTCACGCACTCTCATAATGGTTCTTTGGATAGTGACTAAGAGTGCTATTTCACAGAAGAATAAACCAAGCAGAGAGGACAGGGAAAAGCCTAAAGCTAAGCAAACCATGGTGAAGCCAAGATGAGAACAGGCCGTGGCCTTGAAACCTGCCTTCACCCTAATTACTATATCTAGAGTGTCAATGAGTCTTTTTGCAGTTAAATCCAAGATGTAACCACAATACCATCAAAGAGTATTTACATGCCAGGATATTGAGAGCATTTGCACAAGATAACAAGTAAAATAGAATCCGCAGCCTGGAACTACAGACCATTCTTCCAAAAACTGTCAGCTCATATTTTAAGAAATGAAATGACTTAAGGCTGATTCTAATTCTTACTTTGAGCAGATGCATTGTGAACCATGTTATGCAGTATAACCCAGAAAGACAATTAAACTACACTCCCAATTATTCAAAACTCAACATATACAAACGCCTTCTGTAAACTTGGAGCAGGTTAAGGATCCAAAATATTTGGACTTGAAATTTGTAAAAGATACAGTCTTTTTCAGTGTGCTTAAATTCTTCCTGAGAATGAAGAAATTCCTATCTCTTTTAAAAGCGCCAGAGGGCAATGCTTGAGAGCACGAGCCTGGAAGTGGGCTTCCTGGACCTACCGCCCACTATACATGCAGTATTGAGCAAAATTCTTAACCTCACTAGGCTTCAGTGTTCTCTTCTGTAAAATGGAATCATAACAGTCCCATCCCATAAGACTTTTAAGAATTAAATGTGAAATGTATATAAAATACACAGTGCAATTCCTTGAATACATGTTTAATAAATATTCACCAATACATTTGCTATTAATGAGCTTTCAGAGTGTCTCAAAACTATACAATCCCAATCAATCTCTCCTAACTGATTTGCCCCCCTGTCACAGATGTCTAACTAGAATCAAGACCGAATCTGTGATCCAATTAGATAGTCCCTTTCCCAATTTAACTCCTTGCAGCCTTAAACACATTTTTCGCTGTGTTCCATGGTGTTTCCTCCTTTAATAGTAAAGCTAAGACATACACAGAAATTTTTGAAAACATGTTCTGGCCTGTGGTTTATATTTATGAATGGCTTTTATTCTTCAGGTCAGCTTCTGGAGGCTGCCGAGCATTATGAAGCATTCTATCAATTGACGCAGGGGCGGATATGGAAGGATGAGACAGGCCGCTTTCTCAACTTGTTGGCCTGTGAAGGTCTCCTGAGGACGTACAGATTACTCTCAGACAAAATGCTGGAAAATAAAGAATACAAACAGGCCATCAAAATTCTAATAAAAGCTTCTGAAATAGCCAAAGAAGGTGGGTGGAAAAGAACACTCTCCCATTGCTTTCTTTAATGGACAGACACTGCTTCTCCCAAGAGTAAAGTAAAAATCGTCAAGTGTTAGGGTGATTATTTCCTATGAAATGCAAAGACAAATGCCATCAATATACTTTTCGAATTTCACTGTGAAGCAGAGGTGCCTTAGTGCTGACAACAAGAAATCCATTAGTATCTTGAAAGCTTTATCTCCAAAATTACAGTCCACTGGGGTATTGTTGTAAAACAAGGGATCCACAATGAGAAGATAAGGTCATCAGCAAAAGTTAAGGGTCTGTGTGTGTGTGTGTGTGTGTGTGTGTGTGTGTGTGTGTGTGTTAAAGATTGTATATTTCTTGGAATCTGAGAGATCTTTCATTGTTTATAAATTCCCTATAGTCAGGTAATTGGGAGAATACAATTATTTACTTAGGAGCAGCAGAAAACTGTAGACCTTTACCTCTCAAAATGTGGCTTTTAGAGCAAAATCATCAGCATATTATAAAATGTTAGCATCCTGGGTCCCTCCCCAGAAAGACTGTCTACATGAAAATCTGCAGATTAGCAAGATCTCCAGGTGGTTCGTACATATGCATGAAGCAGGAAAACATTTTTGTGAAAGCTGCTCACAATACTCTTTATTGTTTGTATATGTATAAAATATAAGGAAAAATTTGGAGCATAGTCTTATAAGCTTTTAATTTTTGAAATGCAAATATATTTTATTCCTAAGTTGTAGTTTATTAATAGCCTTTTCATGAAGAAGAAAAGTTATGCATTGAAAGTTTAATTAATACATGAATGTCATTAATTGACTGGTTTATTAAGGAACCCATGGCTTACTTAAACAGTACTGATTTTTCTAGATGTGATTTGAATTTTCTAAAAAATAAAAGTGAACAGCTTATTCTCACTGTTATTTTTTTAAATAATATTAGTTGAAATATTCTTCGGAAGCCACCCTCTTTCAAAGATTTTTTTAATATTCTTATTATTTATTCTCTTTAATTGTTTGATCAGTCTTGCATTCTTATGTGTGGTAATCTGAGCAACTTCATTGAAGATAACAATATGTAATATACCAACCACTGTTAATTCCTGTCATTTTGTTTTGAAATGCTGTATCATTTTTGTTTTTATGTTGTTTTGGTTTTGTCTATGTTGTTATTCTGTTATTCTCCTTAAAATAAAATTTTTACAAAGGTGAAAGATGTACCTTATTAAATGAACTGCTTTAGATAAATGATCTAGTACTTTTCTGAAGGGATAAACAGTAACATAAATTGTTAGATCAGTTTCAGTAGCAAACAAGTTATGTGGAAAGTTACATGAAAATTTCAATGTAAGCAAATGTATGCAGGGAAAAGACATTTTATTTTAGTTTCACTTTTGCAAGTTCACTTTCACAAAGAAAGGAAGTTTCACTTTCACAAAGAAAGGAAGGTAACTTAGGTCTTTTTCAGTAGCCAGAGGCTACCAACTTGTCTTTCTTCAGTGAACATTTCTGCCTTTCCAAAGGACTGATAAGAGGAACAGGAGAGAATTGCTTCTTATGCTATAATAATTGTTAGTATCTTTCAAAGCCAGTAAGTATTTAGCTCCACATGTTCTATATGAGAAAGCACACAGGTTTGCGTATTTCTCAAAACTTTATAGAGCTCTTATAGCAGATGAAATATTATGGGACAAAACATTCCTTCCCGTTGTCTCCTACTTTGGTCAGAGGACCTGAAGTGGCATGCTGATGATTGCCGAGAAAATGATGCCTCCCAGATTGGTTTACTTGATATTTAAAGGGTACTAGGACCCACTGTAAGCCAATTGATTTGCTAAAGCACCTTCATGTAATGTACATGTAGATTATCAGCTAAATATGCTGTCACTTAGCATAATCTTTCAAAGTTCATTGATCTTCTATCCTGTATCATGCATCATGACTTTATTCCTTTTTAAGGGCAAATATTCCATTCTTCAGTTTTAGCACGTTTATCTAATCACCAGTTGCTGTCCATTTGAGTTTTCTCCACTTTTACCTTATTTGTGATGAAGAATGCTGCAGTGAAGATTTTTTTACAAGTTTTCAGTGCTTTTCAGTCTATACCCAGAAGTGAAATTGTTATACAATAACTCACTATTATTGAGGAACTGCTAAGTTTACCAACGGAGCTGCTCCATTTAACATTTCCGTCAGCAGTGTAAGAGGATTTCAATTTAGCCACTTCCTCTCCAGGCCTTGTTCCTTGCATCCTTTTGATTATAGTCATCTTAGTAGGTGCAAAGTGGTCTCTCACTATAGTTTTGATTTGCATTTCCCTTTCGTCTGATGATGCTGAATGTTCTTTCATGTGTTTATTGGCCATTTATGTATCTTCTTTGCAGAAATAACCATTCAGATTCTTTGCCCATTGTTACATGAGTTGTCTAATTGAACTGTTAGAATTCTTTATATATTACAGATACAATTTTTTATCAGATATATACTTTGCAAATACTTTCTCCCATTCTGTGTGCTTTCTTTTCACTTTCTAATGGTGTACATTGAAGCACAGGTTTTTAATTTTTATAAAACCCTATTTATCTATTTTTTGTGCATTCAATATTATCTTCAGTCAATACTGAATGATAATATTATTCAATATCAATATTTTTTGTGAATAAAAAGATTGATTAATCCAGGGCCTCAAGGACTTATTCCTACAATTTATTATAAGAATTTTACATTTTAAATTATATTTAGGTCTATTATCTATTTTCAAATGATCTATCTGTGTGTGTGTGTATGAAAAAGTAAATTTTTTAGTAGATTTTGAAATTGGGAAATGAGTTTACTAACATTATTCTTTATCTAAATTATGTTGCCTATTCTTATCAATTGTATTTCCAAATAATTATTAAATCTGTTTGTTTCGGTTACTTTTCTCTCATTGCTGGGACAAAATACCTGGTATCCAAATTAAAGAGAGAAAGATTTATTTAGCTCATAGTTTGTGGAGGTTTCAGTCCATACTTGGCTAGCTTCAAGGCAGAAGGCACACAGCGGAGGGCAACAGTTCGTGGCAGCAGAAGACAACAAAACCAGCAAGAGCAAAAGGGATGAGCAGCAGGGAGCAAGCCTCTTTTCCTCCCTTATATTGTATGCAAACTACCCACCCCAGGGCAGGTGTAGCACTCACACCCATAATCGCAGCATTGGACCATGAATCAATCATAAACTCTAGAAGCCCACCCCCTGACTGATGAGGCTTTGGGGGAACATCTAGACACAAACCATAACACTTAATTTCTGCAGGAAAGGCAACTTGGATATTGATGATGCGTGGATTGAGTCTGTCAAACAATTTGATGAATACTTCCATTCTGACTTTAGGTTTCAAACCCATGAAATGACCATCTGCCTATTTATTTACATATCATTTAATTCCTTTCAATGACATTTTGTAGGTTTCAGTGTGCAGATCTTTCCTCTGTTAGAAAGATCATGTCATCTGCAAATACAGCTTTGTTTCTTCCCTTCTGATCTGGATGCCTTTCATTTTTCCTGCCTTAGTCATTGCAGGGACCATGCTTGTCCTCCTGATCCCAGAATGAACGTTTTCAATCTTTTGCCATGACACTTGATGTTAGCTTAGAGATTTTTTAGATCGCCATTAACAGGTTGAGGAAGTTGCCTCATATGGCTGGAAGTTTGCTGAGGAATTTTTGAATGAAAGGAGGTTGAGTTTTTTAAAAATTTGCAGCTATTGAGATGATTGTGTAGGGTTTTTTGTCCACCCTTCTATTACTATTGTATAGCACATTGATTGTTTTCCCTATGTTTAAGTCATGCATTCCTAGGATAAACCTCATTTGATCATGGTGTTCTTTTTATATGCTGTTGAATTTGTGTACAGAGAAAAAACCTCTCATAAGCATATTGGTGATACACATTTACTCTGACATCTGGGAACCAAATAAATTGTGTTCCCCCAGTCCTCTTTTGGTGCACATTTAGGTTTTGGGGATCAATAGTAAATTTACATACTAATAAATTTCTGCTGTCTTAAAAACTAAAGCTTCTGTTGGGAGAAATCAATTTCTTTACTATGTCCTAATAGTTCTATATCTTCTTTAGGAAGTGAGAAAAAAATGGAAGGAGAAGCTTCCTATTACTTGGGCTTAGCATACCTGGCTGCTGAAGAATATGAAACAGCATTAACAGTAAGTTGGAGTTAACTGTTCATCATTGCAATTTTTAATTATTATTTTATGGTATTATACTGCATGTGGTTATAAGGTCAGCAGAAATGGATTGGACCTGACATCAGTGTGCCTACTTATAGAGACTAAAACAAAATAGCAATATGCTAGAAGCATAAAAGAAACTGATTCGATTGTTTATAGACCATAGAATATAGTCAATTTCCATGAACTGCCTTGGGATATATGAACATTGAATACATGGAATAATATGACCCACTATACTCTGATATCACTAAAGACAGGATGAAATAAGTTTAAATGACAACAAAAAGTAAGTACTTTGAAGTTACTGTAGTTTTATCACATGATTTGCTTAGAGAAGAATATGGTGATTAAGCAATAGGGTGAACTGCACTGATGTAGGTATTTAGTGTATGTGGGCAGGGGGTGAGGCAACCACAGTGGAGAATGCTGTTAGTTCCAACCTGAGAAGTACCTTGTATCATGCTGAAACTCATCCTTGGGTGTTTTGTGACCAGGCTTTGTCTGTTCGGTTTAAATAGAAACAAAATACCAGAAACTGTTTCCTGTATTTAACTGAAATTTTTTTTGTCTTTGTCTTTTACCTCTAATATAAAGTAGCTTCCTATTTCATTTCACATGTATTTCTCACAATAATTTGATTTGTTGGGCAGTGTTGGCTTAATTTGTAGCTTTGAGATTTTACTTACTGCTTTAGATATTTATGCTAAGTAAGGAAATTTAGATTGGAGCTAGATATTTTTCTCTAGTTCCTTTATAACTGATTATCAGAAAAAACCTTACTTTTCTTAGGTAAGCCTTCTGTTTAATATTTTTAAATTAATATACATTCAACAACACCAATTTGAAGAACACAAGAGACCAAGAAGATGCACACTTATCATTAGGAAATAATTTAATGTGGGTAACTACCAGTTAATCTTGATTGTCACTTGCATTGGATTAGGAGATTCCTGGAGATGTGATTGGGTTGTGAGTGAACTGAGAGAGTTAGAATACTGATGAATTCATAGCTGAATGGGCTTTTGGGAGGTGGGGCTTAGTGAAGCAAGTGGGTCAGAGGGGCATAACCATGAGGCCAACTTTCTCTGGTCCCTGATCTCTTCCTCTTGGGTACTTCCCCTGCTTTCTGCTTCCTGGATGCCATTAGCTGAGCAACTTTCCTCCACCATACCCTTCCACCATGAAGCTTCTGTCTTGGAACCAGCTGACCATGGATTAAAACCTTTGAAATTATTAAGCCAAAGTAAATTTCTCCTGCTTTAAGTTGTGAGGGGAAAGTTCATCAATATAGAAAACTGGAACCTGAAAATTGGAGGTGATCACTGTAACTGTAAATGACAATGTGGTTTAGAAACCATGGGAATTGGCTTGCAGAGGGAGTTTATAAAAATTTGGAGAGGCAGGCTAAAGGAAGCCTTGACACTATAAGCAGAGCACACATCATGAGTGATTCTGCTTAGGGCTCAGAATAACAGAGTGCTGATAAGAATGTGGAGAGTAAAGGCCAGGCTCATAGGGCTTTAGTTAAGTACTCTACTGGAAACTAGACTAGAGGCCATTCACAGGACATTCTGACAAGTAATTTGATACATTTTGTTCATGCCCATCAACTTTGTGTGGGGCTGATTTTAAAGCTTCTGACTAAATGATCTATTGAGGAAAATCCAAGGCAGAGCAACATTCAGGCTGTGGCATGGGTACTGCTAGCTACTTTTAACCAGATTTATTGTGAAAATCAAGGCAAATAAACAGAGATTTGAAAAGTTTGTAGTTTGATCAGAAAAGAAACACATATTAAATTGGAGCCAAAGGAAGTGCACATGCTAAAGAGATAGGTGGCATTAAGAAAAAACTAAGTACTTTGAACTGGATGAGAAGAAAGATGCCTTGAGAACAACTGATGAATCTTCAAGAACCCAAACACTGCAGATCCAGCATACAAAAGTGTAAGCCTTTCACTTAAAAAGAGATCCCCTGGGTCCCATGTTCAAGAGGAACCGTGTAGGGAACTGGTTCTGTGAGATTCGTTTTGTAATGTTTTGTCATCCAGGCACTCAAAAGCCACTGCATTCATGGTCCAGGGGCCTGGCTGCTTCTTGAACTGACAGCAGATCTCACTTTCATTCATATGATTCTGGCTTTTCAGGTATTCAGAATGCCAGAGTCATGTGTTCATACCGACTTCCACACAGATTGCAGAGGAAGGCCTGAGTCCAGGTAATATGTGACAGGGTCAGTACCCCTGATGGGAGCCCCTGAGAGAGTGATGTGTGAAGTGATATTACCCAAAGTGCAGTGGTATTACCAAAGGTAAAATGGAAGCCTCAGAAAGTTAGAGATCTGGTGACTATTCTGGTATATCATTCATTCTAGTAGGATAGGATAGTCTAATAACAAATGCATTAAGAAATCATATTTGACATCCAAGTGAAAAATTTACTGAAACAGTTACTCCTTTCAGAGAATATTGAAATTGGTTTTGTGGAAGTAAATGTGACTTTGGATAAGTTCCTTAAATTCTTTAAGTCTTATTTGACTCATGTATTTTGTGGCACTAATAGTTACCCTTACTTTATAGAGTATAGTGGGTTAAATAGCAGCCTATGAATGCAGGTGTAATTAACTTAAGAATCTTGAGATGAAGGGATTATCCTGGATTGACTGGGTGGGCTCTGAATGGGAAAACTGGATGGGTGATACAGAGATTGCAATGATACAGCCACTAGTCAGGGAGTGTCTGGAGCCACCCAGCGACGAAAGAAACAAGCACAGATCTTCTTAAAGAACCATCCGAGCACTCATAACCCTGCTTAATACTTCAATTCCAGATTTCTAGGTTTCAAAACCATGAAGGAATAATTTTTCTGTTATTTTAAGTCATTTAGCTTGTCACAATTTCCTGTCAGCCCTAGCAAACTAACACACACAGATAAGAAGAGATGATTCATGTAAAGTTTTAAAACAGAGTCTGCCTGGTATATAATAAATTTTCAGCTTTTTTATAGCTTTTTATTATTGTACCAGTCCAAGTCTTTAGACATGAGTAGTGGTAGTGAAGATACAGGGAACTACCAGGCTCAAAAGTCATGAAGGTGGGGGCTGGGGACTTAGCTCAGTGGCACAGCACCTTCTTGGCAAGTGCAAGGTTGTGAGTTCGATTCCTGGTACCGGAAAAAAAAAAGTCATGAAGGCTGTGACTAGATTAAATATAGGAGGAGAGAGAGACAAAAGAGGCAATATGTGCTTGGATTCCTGGCTACAGGGCTGGATGGATATTGGTGTCATTAAGTGAGGCAGGGACTATAAAGAATGCTTACTCCTGGGGAGAAATAGGGAGCACAGTTTTGGGTTTGTTCAATTTGAGGAATTTTAGAGATGCTGACAGACAGGCCAAATGGGCAATTGAGTATGTAGATCAAGAAGTCTACATATAGAGATATCATTTGTGACAGTTAGTTTTGTGTGTCAAATTGACTAGGTCAGAAGATGCCCAGATAATTGGTAAACATTATTTCTGGATATATCTGTGAGGGTGTTTCTGGAGAGAATTCGCATTTAAACTGGTAGAGTAAGTAGATGGCCCTTCTCAATGTGGTGAGCTTCATCCAATCTATTGAAGACCTGAATAGAACAAAAGGCCAAGACAGGGCAAATTCACGTTGCCACACTGAACAGGGATGTGGATCCTGTCCTACCCTCATCCCTAAGGATTCTCAGATATTAGACCCGGCCTAAAATCTACACCATTAGCTACACACCTCTCTACCTTTTGAACTACACTGTCAGTTTTTTTGGGTCTACAACTTGAAGACAACAGATAGTGGAACTTCATATCCATCTCTGTATATCTATGTATCTATGTATCTGTCTATCTATCTATCTATCTATCTATCTATCAATCTATGAGAAAGACTATGAAGAAATGTATTCCTATTATTTTAAAATAGTTAGCTAGTCTGTAACTTGTTACATCAATTCTAAGTTAAACATGGGATGATTAGAAGAGTTTATCTCTCTTACTGGTTTTATTTCTTTGGAGAACCTGACTAATATGCTATAAAAAAATTTTAAGTTATAGCATATTGAAGCTGTGGAGCAGATGAAATTTCCTAGAGAGATTTAATAGTGATGAAAGAAAATGACCTAGGGCCAAGCTGCGTGAAGAACCAGGAAGGTAGCAGGAAAACAGCACAGACCATCTCACAACAGGAAAAGGAACCAGGTTTTTCCAGAAGAAAGGAATGTGACAGTTCCTTCTGCTCAGGATTTAAGCTGGAATGATGTAGCTATTTCCTATGGGAACTCTACTCAGGCCCCCAGGCAGGCACCTGGGCTACAGTCAGAGATAATTTATCCTTTCCATTTCATTCTATGTGAGGTGAACACGTTTGGAAACCAGACAAGACCATAGTCCAGCCGTAGGCTTACCTCTCTGCTGCATCAAGATTGACTTTTGCAGTTAGAAAGAACCAGAGCCTATGTCTTGCCAGACACAGACTATCGGTGCCTTCTTAGTCACAGCTCACCCAGAACTGAGGACCTGTTGAGTTCACCTGCAGGTCAATGAAAAACCAGTAGTCAGGCCAGTAATACAAAATACCAAGACCAAAGGTATTAGACTGATAGCTGTGAAACAGGAGCAGGGAACGGGTACTAAGGAGACATCAGGGACTAGAAGATGGGTTAGGACACTACTGGGGTGGAGAATGGCAGTTTCACATAATTCAGGGGATGGAAGTCTTCTCACTCTTGCATCTTTTAGAGAGTAACCTGCTTGTGGTGCTGCCCTAAAATTTATACATTCTCACAATACCTGACATCTTGGTTCTTATTTTGGCTTTGGATTTTGAAAAGAAAGCCTTTTAATTCTCCCTAGTATCATACTTTTGCTTCATTTTTCTGCTTCCTTTAAGAGACAAAAGGACATTCTCCAGACTGTGTTTGAATCTTCTTTTACTTTCTTGTTTCTGGAC